AGGAAAAATTATTTACTGTTTTGCTATTATGAACTGACCAAGTATCCAAATACATTTTATATGCATCAAAGCATGGTACACGTATTAACTCTACCCACCATGTATTTAAGGCCTGATTTGAAGTAGCCTACAAAGGTTTTTGACTCATATCCCTGGACTTCTCTGTACTGGATTGGTTTTCCTCCAAGGAAATCGTCCATTTGCACGGTGAAGATAGCAGCTGCCCCACTCTCATCCATTGAGCATGCATCACCTGGAGATGCAATTTAACAATGTTCATAAACAGATTTTCAGTGAACATGCACACCATTTACTGAGTGAGAGGACCTTACATTTACACAAACCACATTCTCACCTATCCAGAAGTGAAGGTCATATTGTAGATTTCCAGAGTTTTGCTTTATGGTATTGAGAATGAGGTAGGTATCGCCGGCGTAGAAGCCACCATGAAGATTCTTAGGGACAGGCACCAAATCCATGTTTTCAATCCTCCATACCTGCAGGCCTGGCTGCTTCCCTGCCTTCTCAAATTCAGGGTGGTTCACCATGGTGCTGTTTGAAAACAACATCTATTGTATCAGCCATACACAATAGCCATATTTTGCATGCTCTTGTGTTCCACATAGTCTATTGTTGAGAATAAGATTAAACAGAGGAAGGATTGTGTACTTTGTTCTTCATTTCCTATTAAATGGATCTATCAAAAGAAAACAAAGGCAGTTTCTGTCTCTCGGCTAGAACACTTTGTCTGCATCTTTAAAACTGTTCTAATGCTTCCGCAATCAAACCGCTCTCCTGGTACGAGGTGGTTGATGAGGTGGATGAGTCTCGTCATGCCCTCAGGCAGAGATCTCCACCCCCCAATGGAAAAAGGAAGAGTCAGAAAGGGCGGGTCTCTCTTGGCACTGCAGAGGTGCAGCGGCACAACAATTGGCTTACTTCAACACGTACCTGTTCTCAACCACTGTATGTCATTCAGGAGTAGACAACAAAAAAAGGTTAAAGGTAAAAGTTACCCTGCTTACATAATCTGACATGAAATGCAGTTTATTACTATAGTGATAATATAATTTGCAGTATTTATAGAGAAAAGTTTGAAAAATTATTATTTTTTTAAATACCACTGGTCTATAGTACATCAGGGCCGGTTGCATAAACTGCTTAGACTAGTCTTAAAAAGTTAGCCATCTAATTTGTTTTCTTCTAGACTGGTCATAACTGTTTAAAGTCAGTAACAAAAACGCAGATTGGCCCAGTTTTAATCAGAAAAGTGAGACTGATTAACTCTTGGCTAACTGCTAGGTGGTCAAACTAGTTCTTAAGACACAATCTTAACATAGTGGATGTTTATGCAACCGGTTAGAATAATGCATTAATAAATACACACAAAAAATACATAAATGATAATACATTACCTACCGTAAATGAGTGATGCTTGAGAAAAGTAATTAATTAATAGCATCATCAGCTGGTGACTATGCATCAGGAAACAAATGAATGCTTCTCTATACTAAAGCCCCATCAAATAGAATGCTTTCGAAATATGCCTACCTGTTGGGTAAAGCTTTCTTTTAAGGTATTATCAACAGATGAGTCCGGGACGACAGCTGTAGGTTTAAGCACTGAGCTTCCGCAGGTATTGAGTAACATCTTCAACAGGTTTATTTTATTTGCATATGAAACCCCTCCTCTCATTAGTCAACTCTACGAACATGCATTTTCTTCCGGGAAAAACAACACACACACACACACACATGTATATATATATATATATTGATGCTTAATTTTTCAAAAATTGTGTGGTGTATTCTAGCTTTAAGGCACTAACCTATATCAAAAATGAATGAATGAAACATCTTTCTTTTATTATACTAACCGCTAGCATCTTCTCATTCTCTGATCCTTCTTCACATACAAGAAGTTTTGCTCTCCCACAACGTTCATTATCACGAATATCTTTGGAAACACTGGTGGCCTTCAGTCTCTCAAATTGGTTACACTTGGACCCACACCACTGGTATATCTCCTGATGCAAGTAGAAGAGAAACAGCATGAATACATGGGATACCTTATGATAAAATGCAAAAGAGAGAAAAGGCAACACAATTAATTCATATCATCTTTCACCTGTCCAAAGTCTAGGATGAAGCAATCACCCTTGTTGAAGCTGTCCCAACTCACGGGTACCTCAATGGCCCGGACTACACGTCTGCCACTCACATGGAGAACTCGCTTCACATTCACTTCACCGGAAGCTACGTGTTTGAATCCAGAGGCAACTCCTCCTTGCTGAAGAAATGAAAAGCAGTTTAAGGAAAAATTATTTACTGTTTTGCTATTATGAACTGACCAAGTATCCAAATACATTTTATATGCATCAAAGCATGGTACACGTATTAACTCTACCCACCATGTATTTAAGGCCTGATTTGAAGTAGCCTACAAAGGTTTTTGACTCATATCCCTGGACTTCTCTGTACTGGATTGGTTTTCCTCCAAGGAAATCGTCCATTTGCACGGTGAAGATAGCAGCTGCCCCACTCTCATCCATTGAGCATGCATCACCTGGAGATGCAATTTAACAATGTTCATAAACAGATTTTCAGTGAACATGCACACCATTTACTGAGTGAGAGGACCTTACATTTACACTAACCACATTCTCACCTATCCAGAAGTGAAGGTCATATTGTAGATTTCCAGAGTTTTGCTTTATGGTATTGAGAATGAGGTAGGTATCGCCGGCGTAGAAGCCACCATGAAGATTCTTAGGGACAGGCACCAAATCCATGTTTTCAATCCTCCATACCTGCAGGCCTGGCTGCTTCCCTGCCTTCTCAAATTCAGGGTGGTTCACCATGGTGCTGTTTGAAAACAACATCTATTGTATCAGCCATACACAATAGCCATATTTTGCATGCTCTTGTGTTCCACATAGTCTATTGTTGAGAATAAGATTAAACAGAGGAAGGATTGTGTACTTTGTTCTTCATTTCCTATTAAATGGATCTATCAAAAGAAAACAAAGGCAGTTTCTGTCTCTCGGCTAGAACACTTTGTCTGCATCTTTAAAACTGTTCTAATGCTTCCGCAATCAAACCGCTCTCCTGGTACGAGGTGGTTGATGAGGTGGATGAGTCTCGTCATGCCCTCAGGCAGAGATCTCCACCCCCCAATGGAAAAAGGAAGAGTCAGAAAGGGCGGGTCTCTCTTGGCACTGCAGAGGTGCAGCGGCACAACAATTGGCTTACTTCAACACGTACCTGTTCTCAACCACTGTATGTCATTCAGGAGTAGACAACAAAAAAAGGTTAAAGGTAAAAGTTACCCTGCTTACATAATCTGACATGAAATGCAGTTTATTACTATAGTGATAATATAATTTGCAGTATTTATAGAGAAAAGTTTGAAAAATTATTATTTTTTTAAATACCACTGGTCTATAGTACATCAGGGCCGGTTGCATAAACTGCTTAGACTAGTCTTAAAAAGTTAGCCATCTAATTTGTTTTCTTCTAGACTGGTCATAACTGTTTAAAGTCAGTTACAAAAACATAGATTAGCCCAATTTTAATCAGAAAACGGAGATTGATTATCTCTTGGCTAACTGCTAGTTGGTCAAACTAGTTCTTAAGACACAGTCTTAACATAGTGGATGTTTATGCAACCGGTTAGAATAATGCATTAATAAATACACACAAAAAATACATAAATGATAATACATTACCTACCGTAAATGAGTGATGCTTGAGAAAAGTAATTAATTAATAGCATCATCAGCTGGTGACTATGCATCAGGAAACAAATGAATGCTTCTCTATACTAAAGCCCCATCAAATAGAATGCTTTCGAAATATGCCTACCTGTTGGGTAAAGCTTTCTTTTAAGGTATTATCAACAGATGAGTCCGGGACGACAGCTGTAGGTTTAAGCACTGAGCTTCCGCAGGTATTGAGTAACATTTCAACAGGTTTATTTTATTTGCATATGAAACCCCTCCTCTCATTAGTCAACTCTACGAACATGCATTTTCTTCCGGGAAAAACAACACACACACACACATGTATATATATATATATATTGTGCAGAGTTAGCGGTTTAATGTTATACTATATAATACAATATTTAGTTTCAAATGCACAGTACATTTTTACACTGATTCAGTTTCATTGATTCTCTGAGGTTTGATCGCACCAGTCTTAATAAAGGAGACACCGTGTAGTGCGCCATTATATGTCTAGAACGGGTTTGCTTTAGAGAGCGTGCAGAATACAACGTGTACAACAAATACAACAAAAAACGAGCGTGCAGAATACAACGTGTGTATATTATTCTGTCCATTCAATAATGGTAAAGGGGAGAACGGGGCAAAACATTAGGCTAACGGAAGAGCTAAACTGACAACAAATATTGCAACTAAAATGATAAATATTTATGTTTATTTTAAAACCTGTGTGGCAGCTTGCCTGGACTTGGCCCCTTACGAAAATTTTTATTATAATTATTAAGTTTTATTATAGTAAAAGTGTATGTATTTACGTATGTATGTTTTTTTTTTTGTATAACCACAGTTTACCACAAACACCATGTGTTATGTTGTTACACAAACAACACTATGGTTAGTGTAGCAAAACCATGGTTAATTTGTGGTTACCATGATTTAACTATAGTAACCATGCTTTTTTGGTTTTATTAACTATGGTTAATTTTCGTAAGGGGCATTTATGAAAATACTCTTTTTGGGTTTTTGAGAAAAGTTTCTTCCTTCTGAACCAATTATATTCTGTTTTCGCTTTTGAACATTGTCACTTTAGAAAAAGCAGTTATTTACAATTTGTATTTGGTTTGCTTTTTGTCTGAAGTGACGATTATTATTTCATCCATTTTTTGAGGAAGCACTATTGGACCAGTAGAGGAGCGTGAAGTGTGTGTGTGTGTGTGTGAGGTGCTGTTGCTCCAGTAGAGGTCGCTGCTCTCACTGTTTTGTGTTTTCATCCTAGCAGCACTTTTAGAGGAAGAAAGCGGCCGGACGGCTCACACACGCCGAGACCAACCCAAACCTCCAAAAACCACTTGAATTTATATTTTAGGTAAAGTATAAACACATGACAAGACACATTTCACAATACTACGTTTCAAAATCGTTGGATACTAACGACTGGCACTGTTTTTAACGCTTTACTGGTCTGATTTTAGTAGTAGCTGTTAGCTTTAGCATCTCTGGGTTTGGTTCAGCGCGAGGTCAGCTAACGCTAACTAGTCCTTTAATGCTCAACATTAACATATTCATCGTCTGAAATGCGACACGGAAAGACAAGTGCTGCTGGCTTAAGCGTTAAAAATACTTTGGAGTGATTTTTATTAGGTGTGGTCTAGCATATAGCTGCGAGACCTCTGACAAGAGTGTGTGATTAGCTGATTAGTCCGTCATGGCGCTGGCTGATTGTAGTGCTGCAGTCAGTGTTTATGCTCCTTTAGCTCAGTGTCACGTTACTCTGTACCTGTATACATTTACATCTACATAACTAACGTGTTTGCTTGTAATATCCGCATCGTTATTATCCCGAATTTGTCCTGAACGCTCATTACCGTGGTTAGGTGAACTTATGGAGGAAAGGGAAACGTGTCTTAATAGACAATAGTAGGACAGTCGGTCAGCTGAGCGCTGCTGGATTGCTGTCAGTGTGGTTTCATTTTGTTGCTATGAATTCTCAATATTTGGTTTGTTTCGACTGTTTATGGGTTAATGTGTCATTTTAAGCTTTGAATAATTTTTCTTCTTTCCACAGCAAAAATGACGACTGCACCATATAACTATTCCTATATTTTCAAATATATCATTATTGGTAAGTGAGTAGTCTGTTTTCTACTGCGTGTGCACTGCCTTATAGAACATACAATATGTTATATGAACGTTTCATAATATTTAATGCTTTCTTTGGACATTTTGTTGTCTTTTTCATGTGTATGAACCATTTGGTGTCTTTATAGGTGACATGGGGGTTGGAAAGTCATGTTTACTCCACCAGTTCACAGAAAAGAAATGTAAGTGCTAAGAGTGGTATGAATTACGCTAAAACAAGGCAAAAGTGCATTTTGAGATACAGGCTAACACCACCTACTAGTTTTATCACAATACTGGAATTAATCATTTTGATACAATAACTTGCAAAACTCAGTATTCGACCCAATATCATTTTGATACCACAGGGAAAATTACCACAACATTAAGGGCATCAAATTTGAACAGTATCTAAGTTCATCTACTTGACCGTAATCATAACAAATAAGTATTTTTTCTTATGAACTATTGTCTTGAGATTCCTCAGGCCCAATAGCTATTATTTAATAGTAATGATAATATATTATTAATAATGTATATGTATTATTATTTCCAAAACAGAAATATATTACTATTGTAATACAACTACACTAAAATATATATATATAAATATAAAGCCTTAAGCTTTTATTTCTCTGGGAAACTGCAGAGAAACCTTTTGATTTTCTTTGACAACACAAAATTGTCAAATAATCACAAATCTTAATTGCATATCTACCATTGATTGCAAATCTTGTAAAAAAAGCTGTAATGATCTGTCCACAAAAATGGAGATTATGGAATGTGAAAACAAAGCGTAACTGGTATATGTTGAATTTTCAAATGCATGTTGTGCACATACATCTTCTGATGTCGCTGGACACATCATCAGTGATGTTCCTGGAATCATCGGGTGTTTCGGGTCTTTCAACATCATACACCCTCCTCCAGGTGACCCAGCTGAGGCTGATCAGACCCCAGCTTGTGTCCAGCTGGCTGGCTACTTAGTACTCCATGGCTCTCCTCTTTTTAGCCATAGCCACCTTGAAGCCCTCTCTGCTGCTTCTATGGTGCTGCGTATAGCTACCCTCCTGCTCGCTCCCTCAATGCCCAG